TGTATACATTTTAAAGTTTTTAAATTGTAGATTTTATCTTTGTTTTGATATAGAAAAACACCACATATGTTTGTTTTAAAGCTCTAATCAGGTTTTATTTAATACCTGTAACAAGTTTTAAATCTGTTTTATATTAATTTATATTTTTTCTTTCTCATTTCTTTTTAATGCTTTTTTTCCCCATTTAAGCAGTTACTTAGACCAATGAGGCATAACACAGCAGACTTCTCATTGTAAACGAAACTTGATACAGTCAAGTGCAAAATGATTTAAACTAGCCTATCTCATCTTGTTCCACAAAAAACATTTATTTTCCTATCATACTGTAACATTATTCTTCAAGTGTAGTATAGATTGATAAAGGAAATTCTTTGAAAGCTTTAAACAAATTTCAGGACTGTAATTCTGGAGGAAGTTATTCACAAACATCTTTTGTCATTTTGTTCTGATTTCTACATGACTATCTGCTGAAATGGAAGCTACATTGGCTTATACAGTTGAAAAGAACAGTAAAAGAGGTTTCATTACACTTTTAGATCACTGTTTACGACTTCATGAAGCTGAGATATAGGCAGTCACATCACATCATTGACAGCTGAGATTGAGAAAGAGTGATGGGCTGAAATTGATAATGCTACACTTGTATTCAAGTTACAAGGTCAAATTAGCATTATTTTGTTCATAGCTACTATGAATTTTCTACTACAGGGTCACAAGTGCAACATTATAGTCATAAAAATCCAGGATATTCACAAACACTAATGATTTTGTTCAGAGCAAGCTGAAATCAATCCAAAATCTAAATTTCCAATTTTTTTTATGTATAATATTTTATTTAATAACTTTGAACTTTTAACTTTGAATTTTTTTTAATATATGAAAGAATGAATACACTTTATTTTTCTATAATTATTTTAATTCAATTGTACAATTTCATCCTTGGTGCAGGATGTAATATAGTTACATTTTGAACTTTTGTTGAGACATCCTTTTGCTGTAGCTCTTGAAGCTTTCAGTCAGGATTGGAGTGCTCTATTCCTCTATGCCTATCTCCCCCATCCATGTTCTTCCTTGTGTCTTCTCTGTCATCTATGCCACCCTGTTTCACATCCTCTTGGTGGCACCACTTTGGCCAGTGTAGCTGTGGTTTCCAATTCTGCACGTGCTCCTATTCACACCTCCTCTTCCCCTCTCACCCACCCACCTCAAATATCATCACTCAGATGTGCTACATCTTTCCATTCCAACACTCCATCTTAACATGTGGCTTTTATCTGGTCCCTTGCCAGACAGGCAGGACTTTCCCTGTGGGCTGCTTCATCCTTCCTCCTTGTCAGTTTATCAGCCTAAGTGGCGTGTCTATCACTGTTGGTCTTCTCATCATAGTTTTCCATCTGTCTTGCCCTACTCTCCTGAACCTGACTTACTTCCTTATCTGGTTTTTTGACAAGGGGATTTTGGTATCCACCTTCACTCCCATTTCTCACCTTTATCATCTTTCCCATTCCAATTATCTCTTGTGTCCTGTTTGGGCTCTCTGCTGCAAAATGGCTCACACTGCTCCCTTCTGTGGTTCCCATTTGTTCATTGCAACCCTTCCCTTATACATGATATTTTTCCTATTACTCATATATGTTGGATTTGCCATCTTATTTACCTAGGCGATTCTTCCCTGTCTCCTAGTGATTGTCGTATCTTTCAAGTCTGCTCCCATCATATCCTACACCTTACCATGCCCCTGGCTGCCCGATTCCATTATCCATTGGAAGATATAATTCATACTAGCATGTGGACCACTCCCCATACACTTATTTCACATTATCTTCATTATCTGGCCATTTCCTGCTCTACAGGTTAATGACTACCTCCTGTCACCATCTTGAGCTACTGTTTCTCTATGAGTGGATAGGTGCTCTTTCCTGCTTTCCTTATTTACCGGGGTCTTTCTCACATATACGGATTCTGCTTAGTGGCGAGAGATGCCTGACTAGGTATAGTTATTTTTAAACTCGTATTGTATACCCATTCCAGTCAATAATGCCCACTGTTGAGATGATGTGTTCTGCAAGACTACTTGTAGGTTTTTCCTCATGGTGTTTTGCATCATAAATACATTTGCCCTGGACCATACACTCATGGACTAACATTAGTAAAGCAAAAGGGGATAGCTGCCCATCCCTGTTGTTCCTTGGTTTTACTGTATCAGAAATAGTCTATTTTTCAGTATAAGGTTTCACAGTCATCTGTTGCACTGTTTCCAGTGTTGCATTCCTCCATACTCTCTAATGCATTCCACCCATTTTTCCAGTTTACCACTTACCAGCTCCTAGCTGCTGGGGTGGTGGACCATGGAGTCTTCCTCTGGAGTGTGATCAATTCCACTCAGTTGAGGGTAGGGTGGTAGTGTTCTGCTGGTGTAGATAGTGTACTGACACTTCTCCTACTGTGGACTTGAAGTACTATTCCAGATACTGCTATTTATGGACTAGATGATTTCCACCAAAGTGCAATTCACCCTCTTTCCTACCCTCACCCGGGAGTCGATTCCTGCTTGGTACTGGTGTTAGTTGGAGCTGGACCAGCCACACAAGTCCTCATATGTGAGTGGCCCAGGTACCCTCCTTCTGTCACAGAATGGACGATTCATTCCCAATGATGCCTGGTTCTGGATTAGATTTGAACCACCACATTGGTGTCTGCCTTCCTACTGCCATCCAGACGTCAGTTCACAGGGAATACTAGTGTTGGTTTAGTTGGACATGCACACATGATGATGCAGGTCCTTGGAATGGAAAATCATCTTCCCTTTCAGTTCCTGTGACCGAGGTGAATGGTAGAGGACCTTCTTTCTACTGTGGACTGGATATTTATGTCACTATACAGCTGGTGTTGGTTGAGGATGAATCCCCCTTATTGTCTGCCATGCTCTAGCCACTCTACACCAGGGTTCGCACCTAAGATTCCACCCTTATTGCAAATCATCATCTTCATGGGTGTAGAGTATACCTGGCTATGGTGTGGTCTCCCATGTGTATGGTGTGTCTTACATACTCTACTCACACACCTCATGGGCTTCCTTTGGGCACTTCCTGAAGGAAGCTCATCTCAGTACTGTTACACCAGTCCTTGCATCAGGTCAGTGTAGGATTCTAGCTATTCTATGAGAAGAGGTAAGATATTGTATTCAAAGAAACCATTTTCCTACACTGAAAAAATATTTCCAATAGATTCTTACCTCCTCTCACACATTCCACCTTTCCTCCCCACTTTCAGTGACTTTTGCTTTTCCATTGTTCAATCTCGAAGTGAAGTAGGGCTAAGCTGCGTAGAGGGAGTCAGCTGTGCTAGGAATTGTGTCATTCTGCTATTGGTTGATGGTTGTCACATGCTCATTTCCATGCTGTCATGCAGCTGTCACATGTGAGGGTAAATGGGAGTATCAAGGCTAATGGTGAGTAGAAACTTGCACATATAGAGGGTAGCACAAATTTGGAAAAGCTGTTCTGTGAAAAGAGATAAGAATCTATCGGAAATACATTTTCAGTGTAGGAAGATAACTTTCAGCTCTTAATATAAATAAATTATTTGTTAATAAGCCAAAACTTGTCATAATTATTTATTTTAGTCTAATATTTAATTACGCACATTTAATTGTTGGATAACCTAATACTTCCACCCAAAAATAACAGAAAATTAAGCATAGCAAACTGGTATTAAGCCTAACTAAGGTTTAATAATAGAAAAATATTACTTTTCCAGAACAGCATAATGATCTACAAATAATTTTAATTTCTTCCTCTCTCTCTCTGTCACACAGCTCTAAAATAGTATGACCATTAATTTTAATAGCATATATCATTACTGGGAAATTGTATGAAAATGTAAATTACTTGTATGCTGAATGTATACTGATATTCAGCAAAAAATATTTAATGGGCCAAATGTCGAATACTAAAAGAATGTTTGTAATAACCCTAAATAAGTACACTCCACCATTCAGTTGGAAGGTTCTTGTGTGTTATAAGAAAAGTTAAATCTAGTAAAATCATTAGTCAAAAAAATTGTTTTAACTAACGTATTATAATATATACATATTTGCATATGTGTTATTACCTGGTAGACACTATTCACACATGTTTGTTTTACCAATCATTATAATTTTATTTTTAAAGCAATTTAATTCTTTCTCTGGCAAGATTTTGCTTAGACAAAAAATAATCTTAAAAACACATTTCGTGTGTTGGTATTGCAAAGCAATTAATTTGATGTAACTTGATTTTATTTAGTATGCCTCTAAAAACTAAGTATTTGTCTATAAAATAATATTTGAAGCAGTCTTTTCATGTTAGTAAATTCATTCTAGTTTTCATAATTTGTACAGGAAATTTGCATCAAAAATATCATATTAAGGTTTCTTACATCTGTTGATTAAAATAAAAAAGTCAATTAAAGTGTTTTATTTTAAAATGTTGGGTATAGTTTTGGTATTTTCTGAGAAGGCTACTAGGATGATTTCAGGGATTGAAGGAGTTCTTAACTTATTTTCTCTTATGAAAAGAAAGGCAAGAGGTTATCTTATTGAAGTATACAAGATTATATGAGGAGATTGATAGGGTAAAGGCTCTTGGTTTCTTTGTGCTTTATTCTGAAGAGTATAGGACAAAAGTTTAATATTTGAAAAAATACATGTTTCATTTAAAACTGTTTTGTATTTCTAAGAGGATGATTAGCTTATGGAATTAATTTCTATGAACAGTAGGAAATGTTAGCATCTTACAGGAATCTCAGAAAATAATAGTTGATTTTCTGAAAAAAATAGAGTGGATTTACATATTTACTTTTTCTCAGGGGTGGGTGTCTGCAGACAGCCTTGAAGGGCTAAATGGCCCCTTTTTCTCCATAATGTTGTTATTACTAAAATGTGTAGAGAAATTTCAGACAGAAAACAAAATAGGCAATAATTCTGAAAAAAATTAAAATAATTTATTTCTTTTCACTAGATGGAGACCTTATCACCATTTTTGATAGCTCAGATTTATCATATGCCATTCAATGTAGTAGAATACTGAAATTAACAATTTCAGGTAAGAAGTTATTTTGAAAATATGAATTAATTTAAAATATTGTTTCTTTTTATGTTAGTTGATTATTATTATGTACCATGTATGTTTTGTTTAAAGTTTTAAATTATTGTTTCAGAACTCTTTTAAAATTTGATAATGATACTTGAGATAAGTAACATTATTTATAACAGAAGGGGACACAGATAAATGTTTTGGAATTCTACAGATTCCATCTTCAGTATCTAAAGCAAAATAAAAAAATTAAATCATTCCTTAGAGGACTAAAATACATTGCTGCAATAATGATAATTTAATGAAAACTAAAACACATAGAAAGTGAAGGAGTAACAAAAATACTGTACATATTAAAAATGTGCAATTTAAAAGAAGACTACATGTTATTCAGTGTTGGTGAAAGTTGTTTGATGTGCAGGGTTTCTTTAATCAGTAATTTCAGATTAGTGTTAAGGTGCAAAGGATATTCAAATTTGATAAATTAAGTTCTTGTCCTGTTTCTTCACTATGTTGCAGCCTTGTGCTGAGTCACTGTTTTTGATTTTTACACAACAGATATACGGCTTGTTGACATCATGATATTCTACGCAGAGATTTTTACTTTCATATTCACTTTCACTGCTATCTGTATATTCTTTCTCCATTTCAAATTGTGAATTTTCCTCTAAATCAGTTTCAGGAGTTACAAGTAATTCAGAAATTTAATTTTCCATAAGAGTACAACTTTTCTCTTTCTGTTGTGAGATGCTGTAATTGGGTATATTCTACTGCACCCTGGAATAGCACAGACATACGACAATGCAGGTGCTTCGAATAAAGCAGAAGAAATAAAACATTTACTTGACCAAAGAGGCAATGGTAGATATCAGCATTGAACAGCTGCTCTACAGTCGTATCGAGTTTACAGAAAACCCAAATCAAATATAATTGATCAGAGGACAACAATAAGTTATATGAGAATCAAGTATATTCAATAGGGTTAAGGATGTTAGGTGAAAATGTATATCAACTGACACAATCAGCCAACTAACCATCATTTTAGAACTATGAAAGCTTAAGCAAGAGACACAAAAACTGCACTGGTGATAACTTTATAAAACACAGTACTGAGTCACAAATCTCAATCTTAGTGATACTAAAATTTATGTTAATGTCAGAGTAAATTACCTTCCATAATAACATAATTCACCATGAGCACAGTAGCAGACTTTGAAAGATCTTTATACTGTATTTGCCAGTGTATAAGATGAGACCTTTTACTCTTAATGCCTGATTTTATCCCTCACCTTATACACAGGTTCAAAGATAGAGTTACAGTAAGAACTATCCAGTTAATAACATATTTAACCACAAAAAAACATTGTTCCTTTTACTTTTGTTTGCTTTTTTGAGTAAATGCATTGACATCATGATACCTACTGCGTTGCAATAACATATTTGTAATTGTTTCATTTGTCTCGATTCTCCATAACTAGAAGCTATTTATCTCACATGTTAGTTACAATTAAGCAAGACATTTTTGACTTGAAATGTATTGACCTCATCCATCATACTAAAATATTGCTAATATGATATTGAAAAAAAATTAGTTTCTGTAATGTACACTAATGGTTTTATAGTATATCACTATATCTTAAGGTTTAGTATTTTTTTGTAATAGAACTGTGATTATAACTTTGTAAAATTGTTTATCACATGTTAGTGACTTAAGATATGCTGCACTCAGCTGTCTGTAGCATTTGAAGAGCATAAAAAGCCAAACGTGGTTGTAAGCATAGAGTGGAGGTTAGCACAGTTTAAAAATAACTTCTAAGACTTTCTTTACAAAAGTAACATGCTAGACTTGCTTGATGATAGAGGTTGTCCTATAAACTGAACGTCAAAGAAATACATTTATGTTGCTTAAAAATCCAGGGTCTTCTTTTACAAAGGATCTTTGTATACATCGGTAAATATGGTAAAAGAAGATGAAGAACACTGAAGTTTGTAAGTCCAATCAGTTATGTTTCATAATGTCATTAAAAAACATCATTATAAAGCATTACAGCTAGTTTTGATGCAAAGTTTGATCATGTAACCTACATGGTGGCCTGTATGTTGTTATTTATAATGCATAAGACAGGTGAGAGAACACATCTGGTTAGTTTGGTAAAGGTAATTTACAAAGCCTGACCTTTTATTAAGAATTTTTTGTCATCAGGGTCTTGGTTCTGTTATATAATATAATGGGATATGGTTCTGGAAATTTAGGTTGTGCAAAATCTTTTTTTGTTCATTGCTAGGAATTTCATTGCATAATATATTTTTATCAGGAATAAAGGCTGTACAGTATACTTTAACTTGTTATTGGATCTATGAGCCAAACAATAGGGATTTAACGATATATCCGTATAAGCTGATATTTAGAAGAAAAAAATGGCCAGTATTGAGTTCATAATTTTTCATCCTGCCCTCATGGTTTGAGTTCAGTGGACATGTGTGTGTGTGTGTTTTTCAAGGTGACCCATAGTTTCTTTTCTTTTTTTTTTAGTGTAGAAGGGACAGTGTCCTTAAATTTTTTTTTTTTCTGGAAATGAATATAGTTATAATGAATCTTCTTTACATTTCACGAACCATGTAAAGTTATGGTATAATTGACATGTACAGATTGTTTTACTGAGGCCATTTATGTAGTTGTTAATTAAACTTTTAAAAATTCATAGCATGAATTTTTTTAGAGCATTTAAAACATCACAATGATTTTTAATTTTGTTGAAAATTTATCACTTGAGTTGTAAGGCAATATATGTATTACATCTTACACAGAAATCTTGGCAACTGTCATACCCAAAAATACCTGGAATTGCATTTAATTTTCTTCAGAGCAATTTTATGCCCTAAATCTGAAAGCTTTTTTCCCCACATTGAATTTTTATGGAAAAATCAGTTCCTAAATTTATGAGGTTTCACCATTAAGCATACAGGAAAATCCCATCCTTGCAAGTAAACCAGTATGAATTGGCATGTTTTGTTGTACAAGTTGAAGGTTCAATTCTGACCTCTTTCTTAACACTTTTTATGAATGTTTTGATGAAAATATGTAAAAAAACTTATTAACTATGTCAAATAAAATACTGTTTAAATACTTAAAATACTCTTGGACTTCAAATACCTGGGTAAAAAAGTAGTAAAACTGAAACAATCAGTCAGAAAATAGGTAATCATTTTTGAACTGGACAAATTACTAATAAGCTAAAAATGTCTTGTAGATCATGGGAAAACTCATTGTTTTCACCTCAGTGTTGAAATACCCAGGTAAAATTTCATAAACTTGCAAAAATGGGTAAAAATACTTTTATTTTTTCAAACTGGACAAAAAATTTAGTACACTTTACCTAAAAAGTTTTTTTTCCCAACAAGATGTCAAAACTCAGATTCCAAATACCCACTGTGTTTTTTATTGCTTTGTTGTCCATAAAACCAGAGTATGACACTGATATCCCATTTGTGTTTTTGTTGCAAACCACACAGCAGTTTAGTTCCAAACATATGATTTTTTAACAGGGACAGCTCAAAATTAAGAGATTCACAGTGAAATGTTTCCTTGCACTGATGGGCTATTCTGCAATGGAATGATGGGTTTCTTTGACAATCAGTGCAAGCTCCCTTCCCATCTTACATTACAGATGTACATCTGTTCATGAGATTTACTGATTATATAAATTTTATTCAAACAATTGGAAACATGATTACAATAGTTAATTCAGACATTTTCAAATCAGTAATATTGTTCTTACAACACAAAGAGCATTGTAAGAAGTATGCTGATGTTTAAATTAGCTATAACTTGTCAATTTAATTATTTATTAAGACAGCAGGCACTCCAGTACAGTTTATAATAGGGAAAGCTCAAACTTTTTAGCATATACTACACTTCACAAATCTAGTCTCAACACAGCCTTCAGTAATCTCACAGTTGACAGGTTCACTGACAGCAAACTGGAAGCAGTCATTTTACACATGGAAGAAGCTGTGGTTTTCATTAAGGGGACCTGTTGAAAAGCATGCATACTTGATCATGTTTTCAAAAATGGATGCCGATAATTCATGGTGCAGCAGGGATTGTGTTCAAATTATGTATTTGTGTTATAATTTTAATCAACGGTTTAATTTCTGTAATAGATACTTACATGTTCGTGTATCTTTCTTGCAAAATACTTCAATTGACAAAAGAAATATGCGTTTAGTGGCTTAGAAATTGAAATGTGCTTCTTGGGATCCACCTTGGTAGTGCATTGTAGTCTACCATCCACATCAAAGTGAGAAGTGTACAAATCTGGATCAGTTTGCACATTCCAAGAATCATAGAAAACTATAAAAAGAAGAGACTGGCCCCTTGGAGCAGATATCTGCTGCAATATGTGTTACATTTTCTACATGGAAGGCGCTTTCCTGCACACAACGACTAAACTTCTTTCTTGGTTTCTGCAGACACAAAAAATTATCAAGTGCAGTTTCTGGGCCTAGACCAATTATAGTATACTGTGCCATATATGAGTGAGTCACTAAGTTTTTGGAGGACTTCACATATATTAGCACAACATTCTTGCTCTTCTGCCTCAAGGTAGGTATTGTTGGTAATTTATAGTGAAATCCACACTGATCTGTGTTGAAGATCTAATCACTAGGGATGCCTTGCTGCTGTACCATATTTTGAAAACATTTTGCAACACTTTGGATACTAGCAGGATCCAGCATTTCATGGTTGTTTATTAATTTGATAATTTTCCTTGTTGTTATTCAGTTTTGCCTTTTTAAAGTCCAAGCACCAAGTTACATTAGCTCTGAATCAAAATGTTGGATCCAACAATGTTAGTGCATGAACCTTGCACATCACCAAGAAATGTAATTGGTAGCATGGATAAGTTTTAAGTCTTTTCTAGTCACCATCAAATAACTGCTTTATGTGCAGTTTGATCATGACGTCTTTGTTTGTAAACTCTATCTTTGTACTCTGGAAAACTGTGCCTTATTGTTTGAAAAGTTTGATTTAGATGTTCCTCAATGTACTAAAATGTTTCTCACTTTCTTTCAAAATTGACATAGTTCCTTTCACTAGTCAAACCAACTGGATTAACATCATCGTCAACAAAAGCATTATTGTCCACCTCTGGATCAAAGTCATCAATAATAATGTGTGCTCTTCAATAGCATATTCCATGAATATTTCACAAAGTTAATTGTAAACCTTAACAACAATCTCATTTTCTGAAAGATTTACTTGAAGACTGGAGACTCTGGATAGAAAGCCTCAATCAGAGATTGGAAAACTGCAGGAACAGTTTGCAGATTTACATCTACCATTCTAGGACATCAAATGTGAAGTAAATAAATAATTTTGGACTTCTTTTGTACATAATTTCTTCCCAAACAAATTTATGTTACCTATCAATGCAGACCTTTAGCCAATAATTACTTTTGAAGGGACCTTATTCTGAGTTGTAGCAAATTATAGGTTTTATGGCCTGTGACTGAAGTGTTTCTTCTCAGAGATCAAAACTCTGAATATCCTCTGTTCTACAAGCCATTTTAAGCTTGTTACTAATTTGTCAATTTTCTGACTGACTGTTTTGATTGTATGGATTTTACTACTGGTATTTGAGATCAAACAGTATTTTAAATATTCAAAAAGTATTTTATTTGACACAGTCAATAAATTTTATGTAAGTTGTGTCAAAACACCAATCAAAAAAGTAATTCAGTGGAGATTGGATTCGAACCTCTAACTTGTACAGCAAAACATGATGTCTTTCACTGCTTGGCCATGATAGTTTACTTGCAAGAAATGGAGGAGGGAGGGAATTTCACTATATAAGCTTAGTGGTAAAAGTTTCCAACTTAGTGGCCTAATTTCTCTGCAAAAACTCCATTTTGGGAAAAATGGTTTTCAGTTTTGGATTCAGGGCATAAAAATGCATTGGGGAAGTATTATTCCAGTTGCTGAGGTATCCATATTAGTTAAGTTTACATAAGAATATTTAGCCCTGTATAGATATTTTATGCTTTAAGTTTGGTACAATCTAAGACCTAGTTTCTTCTATGAGGTGGTATAAGTGAAATTATCATTGTCTATTGCTAGGCCTGAAGTAATTTTCGTAAAATGACTTACTATAAAATAAAGACCCATGTTTGTTATTCTGAAGCTGGAAGGATAATTTCTAGATTGATTATTCATCAGGCCTGCCTCTTTTTTCTTAGCCCATAGTGAATCACAAGTTATTGGTATCAGCAATATTATTTTCAAATATTGCCATTTGCCAAAATGTGATATTGGTACATCCCTACCATACAGTATAATCTTATTTATCACTAGGAATCTAGGCTGTACAATAAATCTTACTTTGTCACCAGGAACTTAGACTGTTTCATATAATTTGAAGAGGCACATGTTGTAAACCTTTAACTGTCTCTGAATTTATAGTGAATGGACAGCCAACACTTCTTGAAGCTGAAGAGGTCAAGGACATTCGAAAGGAGTTACAAGCTATACGTGATCGAGTCAATCAACTTCTAGATATGTTAGATCATAAAAGTGTCATTTCTACACCATCCGCAGCTGTCACTTCTTCAGGTATATATGTATGTGTATAATGACATTTAATTTATGTGAGATACTGCACATCTGTGTGGAAGTTTCTCCATGTTACAGAAAATATACTGAGTTGCAAGAAAATACTTATTTTCACACAGATTTTTAACTCTTTTAGCATGGGCTTGGTCCCTGGAACCGACCTCATAACCATTTTGTGCTTGTTTTAGTTTTCATGCTATGACTTTAAAATTAGTAAGCGAATGTTAACAAAATTAGGCAAATTATTGGTAAACATTACAATGCTTTAATATGGAAAATATCGATTTTTTTATTAAGTTTTAAGGTTTGCAAAGCAATGTTTTTCTCTTGCCTTTTTTTCTTTTCACGTGTTGCATATCTATCATGCAAAGTAATTTTCATTTTAAGATTAAAAAGACTTTTATGCATCAGAAAATTTTTAAATTTCACATGTGAACTTTTTATGCTGTCTAGATAGTTATCAAATGTTTCTCAAAGAAAACTTTATCTGTTATTTTCAGGTATTAACCTCTGTACAGGTTTGGTAGATTTGACTGATCTTGCAACCACCATAAAAAAATTAGGAAATAAATATAAATTATGCTTCTTTCATTCTTGAATGAACACAAATTATAACACAAAAACATAAATGTTTAGACTAATTAGCTTAAATCTCATAACATTATACATTTATTATTTTTATAGGCTGTCTGGCTAACAATACAGAAGTTACAATGACACGGCTCACGTGCACTCATGTTACCATATCAAATAACATT